CTCTCGGCCTGCCGCTGGCGGCGACAGCCGAGACGCCGATCCCGGAGCCCGTGCTCGGCGTCGGGTTCCTGTCGGTGATCGTCGTGATCGTCCTCGTTGTCACCGGCCTGGTCGTGGCGCGCGGGCTGATCGCGGACGACGAGGAGGACAGCGGCCTCTGAGACCGGCGGGAGGTGCACCGTGAGCGAGGGGAGCTCTCTAATCCCCCGCCTCTCGCGCCCGTCTCTTGCACCGCAACAGCGGCGGTCGAGAGTCGGCGGCGAGCGAGGGGGTGAGGTGAGAAGGAGAAAAGGCCTTCTCAGAAGGCTCGGAAGCCCCCCGGCCTTCTGAGAAGTTGTCTCAGCCCTCCCCGAGGACACAGACAACTTCCCAGAAGGCGCGAGGGCTTCTGAGAAGTTCCGCCGCCTTCTTAGAAGGCCTTTTCCTTCTCACTTCCACCCCTTGCTCGCCGCCGAGAGAGGGGACTTGGGTCGACATCGAGCGCGGGCCCGCGCAGCGGCGGCGCAGCGACCACGGTGCCGCGCCCACAGCCCCAGTAGCGGTGCAAGCCGTCTTTTTGAAGCCATCCTTACGACAGTCTCTCGCCCGCGCGGTCGCGGTGGCGGGGGGCGGCCCGCGCGCGGCTTTTCTGTTCGCCGCGGGAGAAAACAAGAGGCCATCAAGTTGGTGATCGTTTTCTTAAGTATTGTTTTGCCGATCGGTGCGGGCCCTCGCTCCCTCTCCCCCTCCCCCATGGAGTAGGTATGGGCTGTTTTGGGCGCCTGTTTCCAACAGGTGGAGTCTCTCCCATCGGACGCACTGTTGCAGACAGTCGCATTAAGCAGAGGTCCGGAGCCAGTCCCCCCCACTCTCGCCCAATGTCGAAACGCCAAATAAAATTAGCCTGGCGAAGGACCCAACCAGATGCAGTTGTGAGTAATGCTGGTGTGAGTACCGTCTTCGGTGGATCTCCCTATGGGGCCACGAACCGTTTGAGGGGTGTGCCGAAATGGGTGTGGGGGCGGCATGCGAACGTTGCCACTGGGGCCTTCGGTGGAGCTCCTTATGGGGCCACGAAACGTGTGAGGGGTGTGCCGAAATGGGTGGTGGGGAGGCATACGAACCCTGCCACTGGGGCCTTCGGTGGAGCTCCCTGTGGGGCCACGAAACGTGTGAGGGGTGTGCCGACATTGGTGTGGGGGCGGCATGCGAACGCAGCCACTGGGGCCTTCGGTGGAGCTCCCGATGGTGCCACGAAACGTGTGAGGGGTGTGCCGAAATGGGGTGTGGAAGCATGCGAACCCAGCCACTGGGGCCTTCGGTGGAGCTCCCTATGGGGCCACGAAACGTGTGAGGGGTGTGCCGAAATGGGTGTGGGGAGCATGCGGACCAGCCACTGGGGCCTTCGGTGGAGCTCCCTATGGGGCCACGAAACGTGTGAGGGGTGTGCCGAAATGGGTGTGGGGAGCATGCGACAGCCACTGGGGCCTTCGGTGGAGCTCCCTATGGGGCCACGAAACGTGTGAGGGGTGTGCCGAAATGGGTGGGGGAGGCATGCGAACCCTGCCACTGGGGCCTTCGGTGGAGCTCCCTATGGGGCCACGAAACGTGTGAGGGGTGTGCCGAAATGCGCAAAGCTCCCTATGGGTGTGAGGGGTGTGCCGAAATGGGTGGTGGGGAAGCATGCGGACCCTGCCACTGGGGCCTTCGGTGGAGCTCCCTATGGGGCCACGAAGCGTGTGAGGGGTGTGCCGAAACTGGTGTGGGGGACGGCCGAAATGCATGGGTGCCATGGGGAGCTCCCTATGGGGCCACGAAAACCATTGCCACTGGGGCCTTCGGTGGAGCTCCCTATGGGGCCACGAAACGTGTGAGGGGTGTGCCGAAATGGGTGGTGGGGAGGCATGCGGACCCTGCCACTGGGGCCTTCGGTGGAGCTCCCTATGGGGCCACGAAACGTGTGAGGGGTGTGCCGAAATGGGTGGTGGGGAGGCATGCGGACCCTGCCACTGGGGCCTTCGGTGGAGCTCCCTATGGGGCCACGAAACGTGTGAGGGGTGTGCCGAAATGGGTGGTGGGGAGGCATGCGAACGCAGCCACTGGGGCCTTCGGTGGAGCTCCCTATGGGGCCACGAAACGTGTGAGGGGTGTGCCGAAATGGGTGGTGGGGAGGCATGCGAACCAGCCACTGGGGCCTTCGGTGGAGCTCCCTATGGGGCCACGAAGCGTGTGAGGGGTGTGCCGAAATGGGTGGCGTGGGGAGCCACTGGGCCTTCGGTGGAGCTCCCTATGGGGCCACGAAACGTGTGAGGGGTGTGCCGAAATGGGTGGTGGGGAGGCATGCGGACCCTGCCACTGGGGCCTTCGGTGGAGCTCCCTATGGGGCCACGAAACGTGTGAGGGGTGTGCCGAAATGGGTGGTGGGGAGGCATGCGAACGCAGCCACTGGGGCCTTCGGTGGAGCTCCCTATGGGGCCACGAAACGTGTGAGGGGTGTGCCGAAATGGGTGGTGGGGAGGCATGCGGACCCTGCCACTGGGGCCTTCGGTGGAGCTCCCTATGGGGCCACGAAACGTGTGAGGGGTGTGCCGAAATGGGTGGTGGGGAGGCATGCGACCCTGCCACTGGGGCCTTCGGTGGAGCTCCCTATGACGAACCCGAAATCGGTGATGATGATGATGATGATGATGATGATGATGATGATGATGATGATGATGATGATGATGATGATGATGATGATGATGATGATGATGATGATGATGATGATGATGATGATGATGATGATGATGATGATGATGATGATGATGATGATGATGATGATGGGAGGAGGGAGGGGGGGGGAGGAGGAGGAGGTGGGGAACGCGGGGCGCCGTCTCTTCAAAACGAGGACCCAACACCACAGGATGGTTGGGAAAAACGTTCCCAGGAGACTTCCAAGAGGGCCCCAATAGCCGATAGGTTAAAATTATTTGTTTCCATAAGTTTTTACATGGTTTGGGGCTCCCCGCTTAGCTTCCGGCGCTCCAAGACGTCCCAGGAGGCCCCGAAGACCGCCCCAAGACGGCCCCAAGATGGCCCAAGAGGCGCCCTAGATGTCCCAAGAGCAAACGGGGAACAAGCCTTCCGCCCCAAGAGGCGCCCAGGAGGCCCCAAGAAAGAGGCTCCCAGGAGGCCCCCACGAGGCCGCCAGAGGCCCCCAATAGGTTATGGGTTAGACCCCTTGACAGCCCCCCAAAGGCTTCAGAACTACCTCCATGGGGGCCCCGACAGGCCACGACAAGATCCCGACAAACATCCAAAAGGCCTCAGGCCCACCACCCAGGCAAGTTTGCGGGATGGGTCGAAGGCCATTCGATATGGGCCGGCGGAATGAGCGAAGCGATTCAATTCGGCGGGCCCCCCTGCGGGCCCTCGCCGTGTTCGCATTCGAAAAAGGAGGAGAGATGATGGAGGATGATGGAGGAGAGTGAGAAGCATGCACAAGGCGTGCTAGGAGAGGCTTCGCGGATTTCGCCGGCCTCCCCACCGCATTCCGCTGGCCTCAAGACGGCCGAGTCCGTACAACCCTCCTGGGGACCCGTAGAAGTACAAGTGAAACGTGCTCACAGCGCTAGGCCCACGCGCGTGACAACTCCTGGGACACGTGAAAACATCAGTGAGATACGCCCTCAGGACTGCGAAATCCTCGTTCTGGCGCACCCCTCACGCATTTCCTGTCTGACAGGCCAGTGCGGCGCCGCCGAGGAGGAGGAGGAGGAGGAGGAGGAGGATGAGGAGGAGGAGGAGGAGGAGGAGGAGGAGAAGTATGGGCAGGAGGAGGAGGAGGAGGAGGAGGAGGAGGAGGAGGAGCCTCTAGATGGCATCTTGCGGCGCTCTTGGGGCCAAGAAAGGGTTGTCGTCAAGATGCTTCTTTGGGCGGCCTCTTGGGGTCTCTCGAGAGGCCTCTCGGGTGCGCTTGGGATGCATGTGTGGGACCTCCTGGGGCCTCTTGGGGGCCTCTCTCGGGCGTCTTCGGGCCTCTTGGGACTGCTTGGGATACTCCTGGGGCCTCTCGGGGCCTCGTGGGTTCCTCTTGGGGCCTCTTGGGGGCCGCTCGGGGGCCTCTTCTGTGCCTCTTCGGTGCCTCTTGGGGGCATCTGGGGGGAGTGGAGGGGCATTTTGGGGGCTCGATGATGGCCTATTTGCGCTTCTTAAGCATTTTAGGGGCCTCTTGGGGTATCTCGGGGCCCTCTCGGAAGCCTCATGGGTCGTCTTGTGGTGATTTGGGGTGCCTCTCTGGCCGTCTCGGACGCAGAAGTGGGATATGCAACAAATGCACGTCTGCCGCAGGGAATGGAAGCATTTTTGCTGCTCGAGGCTATCCTGAGAGGACTCGTGGGAACCTCCTGGGCCGTTTTGAAGCCATCTTGTTCCCTCTTGGAACGCTCTTGGACCGTCTTCGGGTCCTCCTGCACTGCATCTCTCATGTCATGGGCCGTCTTGGGGGCATCTGAGGCCGTCTTGGAGGCTTCTTGAGCCGTCTTGAGGCCTCCGGGGGCGCTCTGGGAAGCCCCGAGGTCGGCGCCGAGGATCAAATCCATGTCTGAGTACGGTCGGACCGAGGTATATCATCGAGGTAGGTTCGAGAAGGGTGCCCTAATCTTCTTCGTGTTTGTTGGATGTTCTTGTGCATGCAAGGGAGGGTACCCTAGGATATTCTGTGATGTTGGCCGGCGGAAGGTCTCATGTCCTTGACGGATGCTCTTCTGTCCTAGGTCCGACTCTTGCCGGGGACTTGCCGGAGATCCACTTCGCCCAGGGACCAGGGGCGGCCTCGCGCGCGCGAGCTGGAACTATTATCCAAACCTGTTGCTGGAGATCCTAGCACCCCTTTGGCCCGTTGGGCCGGCGAAGTTTGCGACACGAGAAAAATACGAGTGATACTTCCCTCTCATGGCTATGAAACTGTCATGTCGGGCACCCCTCAGGCATTTCCTGCTTGACAGTTTGTTGGGACAAATGAACATACGAGTGGTTAGCCCTTCCGTTTGAATGGAGGGCCCGAATTCGGCACACCCTTCACGCACTTCGTCAATGTTGTGCGCTCAGCTGGCTCCCGAGACGGTTCTTTGGCGCCTCAATTCGGCACGCCCATCATCCGTAGTCATTTTGGCTCAAGCCCGCATGGGCTCGAGGAATCGTCCGATGGTTCTGCGTTCAGCTGCCAGCGGCAGCCGTATGGACTCGATCGCCCGGCTCGCGAGGCGGAAGTGTCAGGGCGATCAGAAAAGCGGTCTCCGATGGGCTTCTTTGGCGTTTACCGATGTTGGCCAAGAAACAGGCTTCGTCAAGGCTCGCAACCCTAGATTGATACAGAATATGCGCATCTGTTGTCTGGTCACTGGAGTTGGCTTAACCGCCGAGCTGATCATGTTCAAAGTGTGGGATTTGAGCCCCGACCGTTACCAGTCGGAGGAACAGATGAAGATCAACCAGCTATCCAACCTTAGCTTTACCATGTTGTGGGTCTACAACATGGTAGTTTGGACATCCACGCTTTCTTGCTTCACCCGAAGAATCCCGCCGCCTGTGCTAGAGATAATTTACACGCTGTCCATCTCCGTGGGCATGGTGGCCTTTGTGCTGGCCACGCCACACTATGCTGGCCGTCTGTTGGGCCTCGACACGAAGACGCACCTGGAGCCCCGCCAGCTCACCGACACGTTTGTCGTCCTCGGGCTGGACGCGTTGGTCACCTCGACGCACATCGTGCTCCCCATCCGCTACCATCTCATGCTGTGCGTGCAGGTGTGCAGCATCCTCTGCTACGCGATACCGGCCATGGTCCTCGGCAGCGCCCACCCAGGGAACTTCCCGCACACGATGGTGGCTTTCTCGATGCTGATATTCGTGACCGCCCTCGGGAAGCGCAGCCTGGACAGGGAGGAGAGGATACACTACCTGGCGCTGATCCGGGAGAAGTGCTTGAGATTCGAGTCGGAGTTCCAGCTGGCCACGTACAAGGACAAGCACAAGGCACAGAAGATGAAGCAGAAAGCGCCCGACGACGCGGAGTCGGATAACCAGTCGATGTCTGCGACGTCCTTCGGGATTGGCAGCTCAAGGCTAACCTTCAAAGCGCTCGTCGAGCTGGGATTGAGGGAGCAGTGGCTCATCGATGAGCAGGAGGTGCAGCTGCCTAGCGCAAGTAACGCACGACCACTGGGCGAAGGGGGCTTCGGCATCGTGGTGCGGGGCCGGTACCATGGAGCCAATGTCGCACTCAAGGCGCCCAAGACAATCTTGCAGGGCAGAACGCAAGAAGTCTTCCTTGAAGCATCCTGCAACGAACTGAGGATATTGAGACGCCTGCGGCACCCCAACATCGTTGCGCTGTACGGGGCGGTGTTGACTTCTGGAGTCGAGGGCGTCCAGGTGTGCCTTGTCCTTGAGCTGATCAAGGGGGAATCCCTCAAGATGTTCATGACGCGCATCGTGGAGAGGGAGGAGCTTGCGCACCCCAGCTTTATCGCGCTGCGCATCAGAGTCCTGATGCACGTTGCTGCGGCGCTGTGCTACCTCCACTCGCGACAGCCAGTCGTCGTGCACGGCGACATCAAGAACACCAACATCTTCGTGCAGCAGCTGGGCGATTGTTCGATGCAGGCAAAGCTCCTCGACTTCGGCCTCTCCCGCCTCGTCAAGGGCAAGGGAGGCGATCGCCCCATGGGCGGCACCCTGCGGTGGGTGGCGCCCGAGGTCCTGTCGGGCCGCCACGCCCCGGCGGCCGCGACGGACATGTTCTCGTTCGGCCGCCTCGTCTTCTACGTCTCCAGCGGCCATGTGCCCTTCTCGGGGGTGGCGGACAGGCAGCTGCGCAAGTTCCTGCTCCGCTCCCCCCCCATGCGCTGGCCGCCGGCCTTCGAGGCGGGCCTCCTGAACCGCTGCCGGCCCCTCGCGGAGGAGTGCACGCGCCCGAGGCCCGAGCTCCGCCCCAGCGTCAAGGAGGTCTTCCCGATCCTCCTGGGCATGGAGGGTCAGACCGCCCCGGCCAGGCCCTCGGGCGGCTCCTCCGGCGAGGAGTCGGCACCGACGCCGCCACAGGGGCACGCGCCGCCGGTCTTCGGCGTCTTCGCCTTCGAGTCGGAGCACGCGTTCTCTTCCATGACCATGAGGAGCACCCCCTCCACGCAGCTCGCCGCGGTGCCCGAATCCGCCGTCGTGATTCCCTCCAGCCCCGCGGACACGGGGCTGGTACAGGGCGAGCGGCTGGTTCACAGCTCGTACCTCCCCAACCCCCCATGAGACGTTGCTGAAGGCTGCCGGCTTCGTGCTGATGCAGTCCAACCACGGCGTCGACGTCAGCGAGGGGTGCTGCTGGATGCACGCTGGTCTTCGGAGGCTGAGGATAGTATGCAGTGAGATGCAGGAGATGCCGTGCGACGGCTGGGACGTGCCCGTCAGTGGCCAGTGCAAAGATTGTCGACTCCTGTGCATCGACGGTGGTGCAAAGATGGGTGCCTGCAACTTTTGCGGGGGTGCATATCAGATCCCCTGACTGCCGAGGCTCGCCCTTTGGACTTGCATCGGAACTAAAGTGAGCAGCCCTCGGTGCCCAGGCGACATGTTGAGCGCCCATCGTCTTGCGTTCACAATGGGCGACGAAGTTCGAGCATTGCGAGTTTGTCTGCAGCTTAGACTTCGTGGACCACACACCCGTCCAGTTCTTTTAACACGCTGGTGGCCATGCGCTGGTCAGCTGTCTCGGTTGACCTCTCTGTACAGAGCCGTTTCATGCATCCAGTTATTGTGACCTTGCGCAGCCTGGCCAGGGTGGCGAGTGCTGCTGCTTTCTTTCGTCGAAGTCAGGCAAGAAAGCCAGCCTCCTCAATTGGTGGCCATGGGGCCATTCTCTGCATCACGACGATGTGACGCATCGCTTGCCACACCAGAGGCCCCCTTTGTCTGGGCCTCCAGTGCCACTTCACACGATTTCTTCACAGGGCATGGAGTGCGTGAACGAATCATCCGTTGTCGTGTTTCGAGCGTCGCTCTGTGTTACAATTGCGTCAGCAGGGCGTTTCTGATCTGTTTTCGGACATCTCTTGTGGCAGCTGTTACGTCTGCTGAGACCTGTCCCATTCCTTAGGTGCGCATGGGACATGGTGCAGCCCAGTGCTAGTTTTGGAGTTCAGCACAACCTCCTTGCGCGCCAATGCCCTCCAGCCCATACATCATCTTCCTTTCCCTGGTCTCTCCTCCCCTGCTCGCTCACCGATCGGTTTTCCTCAGTGAGCCGCAGGCACCGACTGGGTGCCCTACGTCAGGGCCTCACGGCAACCATCACTCCGAAGACGCGCGCGCACGGGGAGAGGACGCGGCACGGCTGTGTGACTGAGCTGGCAGGCGGCCACCCTAGCGTCAGCCGAGGCGGTGTTGTCCCCCGACGCGGTCTCCGTTCTGAAAGTTGCCGCAGGCCGCTGTCCTCTTCTGCCGTCTCATGGTACGGCGGTGGCAGCGGTGAGCGCTTGCGGCCTCGCCCCTGGCATTGGCCACAGGTCGCCGCGAATGGCACAGACTGGTGCTGATCGGTGCAGAGTCTGCGATGGATTTCTGAGGGCGTCTGAACGTCAGGGCCCGGCTGACTTTCCGAGCACGACACGTCTTGCACCGTTGCCTTCTTGGCGATTCCACCCAGACTATACAGGGTGTTAGGCGCAGGCGACCCTTGCTCTGCTGCATCCTGCAATATGGCGGTCCTGTCGATGTCTCCGAGAAGGCTCGGGGGAAGAAAAAAAACGGCACACCCATCACGCACGTCGTGCCTCATGGACCCCCCAAAATGATTTTGGTGGCTCCGAAGACCGCCTAATCTTCCAAGGGGTGCAGATACGCCTTTAAGAAACATTGCAACGATTGGTATCGATCTCCCTCGAGGCAGTATCCCGAACACCCACTGACTGCTGTGTGCAAGCTTCCCCCTGAAGGCCCGCCGTGACTCCCGCTCAAGTCTCGGGCGAAACGGCTGCCGGACCGCGCGATCTCGGGAGGCGGTCCTGGGCTCCCTCTAGCGAAACCCTGTGTGTGGAACCCACCATCGAAAACGCAACTCGAGGAATTATTTTTGCAGAGTCCTCCAGCGAAACCCTCTGTGCAGAGTCCCTGGGGGACTCTGCCGTGTAGAAGACCCTCCTTAGCGAAACGCTACTCGGGAAAAGGGCACCGATGCCGCTGGCCACTTCTCGTCGCCGCGGCGGGATTCGCCTCGAAGTTCTGGTCGGCACGCGCCCCTTGAGAGGGCGAGCGGGTCGCGGATTGGGTCTTCTTGTCCCCCCAGCAGCGCGTGGACATGGGCTTCGGAGGCCCGCGCGGACCTCTCGGGCCAGCGGTGAGATGTAGACTCTGGCGGCACCTCCGGCGCGCTCCGCTCGCGCCAGGGAAGGGGACGGGGTCCAGCGCCGATCCAAGAAGTCCGCGGGGACTGCGGAGGCAGGCTCATGCTCGTGCTCAGGTCGGGCATGTCCTCCTACAGGCGAATTTTGGATGACAAATACAAGATAGTCGAACAATTGTCATAATTAGTCAAAGAAGCACGACAAATCGTCACCATACGATTTTCCTAACTACCCTTGAGTATTCCACAGAGTGACATACCCGACTCGAGTTGATGCAGTTCCCTAAACAGCTCGTCTGCAAGCGCCGGGTGACGGAGCCCAGGCCCCCGAAAGCGGTGGCCCGTTGTGGTCTCTCACCGTGGCTGTGTCAAGCTGTTCTGGGCCCTTTGCCACAGGGATGCTTGTTTTTTGAGTGTTCCTCTAGAGGTCCTTGTCTGCGAGGAGTTCGGCGACTTCCTGTGCTCCGCCGTGCTCGTGCTCGAGGCCCGGCGGCAAGCCCGGGGGGGAAGTGAGAGGGGGCGGACCTTCTCCTCGATTGCACGTAAGTCAGGCGATCGCAACCATGGATCAAGGGGGTGCGTATTAGCGACGGGTCCCGTTTCCATACGAAATCGCGGATGTCCGCCTCCGAATGAGGCGGCACCGGC